CAGCACAGCGCACACTTCTCAGGCTCGCTCTGTCCTCTGGCACGCTCACTCCAGACCTGTCACCATCTTGCTCCAACATTTTCAATTCTTTTATATGAAACGTTCATATTTCTAGCCCATTTTTCTATGTTATTTTTCTTCACTGATTAGAAGCTCTTTATATATTAGAAATCGAAACCTTTTGTCTGAGATATTGGTTGCAAATATTTTTTCTTATTCTGTCATTTGCCCTTATATTTTGCATATGGTATTGTTGTTTGCCATGCAAAATTTGTTATCATCTCTTCCTTTATTTATTGTTTATGGAATTTTGTGTCATAGTTAATAAAGTTTTCCTAACTCCCAGGTTATAAAGAAATTTACCCATACTTCCTTCTAGTACTTGCATGGTTACATTTTACATATTTAAGTCTCTGTTCTATTTAGAATTTATTGTGGTGTACGGTTGAGGAGTGGATCAAATTTAACTCTTTCTATATGGTTATCCAGTTATTTTAACATCAGCTATTAAAAAGCCAAACTTTACCCCACTGATTAAAATGCTGTCTTTATCATATACTAAAATTTTCTGCACAGTTGGATCTATTTCTGAATTTTCTCTTCTGTTCCTTTGGTCTCTATCTATTCATGCACCAATACCGTACTATTTTAATTATAGAGCCTTTGTAATATGTTTCAATGACTAATAACTATATCTCATTGCTCTTCTTTTTCATCATTTTAGAGGCAATTTTTGCTTACTTATTTTTCTAATGAACCTTATAAAAACTTATCTGGATCCAGAAGAAAGGTCTGATAGTGTTTTATAGGGATCATCTCAAATATACAAACTAAATTAGGAAGAATAGACATCATTATGAGGTTGAGTCACCCTACACAAGAACATATGTCTTTCCATTTGTTCAAGTCTACTTTTGTGTTTTTCAGGAGTATTTTATAGATCCTCTTATATAGGTTTTGGATATTTTTTCTTAAGTTTATGCCTACATATTTTATTTTCATCTGGCTGTTGTAAATGTTTACACAATCATTTAACATTTTAAAATATATAACTGAAAAGCATGGTTTTCTTTGTTTTTGCATTCCTATTGTTTTAAATCTTGTGCTTACCTTGGGAAGGAATAAATGGAGACTGATCTTACTGAACTTCCTCTAGGTACTTTCACACATCTTTCTTCCAACCTTCACAACAACCCAAGAGGCTAAGTATTGTCATCCTCATTTTTGCAAACAGGGAACTAATATGCAATGAATTGAGATTTAAAATGAGTTTTACCCTCTACATATTTCACCATCTTAATTTTACAAATGAAAGAACTACAACACAGGAAGGTCTACAGAAGGCATTAGAAGTCCTTCTCCAGCTTTTTCAGTTACTAGCCACGTGGGTTCAAATTGGTTATTTTAGTATTTCTTGTGCCTATGTAAATCATCTGTAAATGGAGACAATAACTGCCCCACTGAATCATTTGATGGATTGGATTCTTTCCTGTTGAAAGAAACAAATGAAATGAATAAAGGTGAAAGCCCTGGGTAAGGTAAACATATTAAACCAACAAGGAATGGTTACCTTGTCTAATCACATACAACACAATGTGAGGCCAATCAACTTCTAAAGCGAGACCCTGACCTATATGACTATTCTTTTTAAAAAAATATTATTTTAATACAAAAGTATTTCATGGACATTATAGAATTAAGAATATGTATGGAAGTAAAAGAAGAAAATAGTATCTCAAAGTGATTTTGATTTGCATTTCCCGAGTGCTGGGTGATGTTGAGCATTTTTTCATGTGTCTGTTAGCCATTTGTATGTCTTCCTTTGAGAAATGCCTATTCAGCTCCTTTGCCCGTTTTTTTAATTGGGTTATTTGGTTTTTTGCTGTAAGGTTGTTTGAGTTCCTTGTATATTCTGGATATTGATCCTTTGTCAGATGTATATTTTGCAAATATTTTCTCCCACTCTGCTGGTTGTCTTTTCACTTTGCTAATTGTTTCTTTTGCTGTGCAGAAGCTTTTTAGTTTGATATAATCCCATTTGTTTATTTTTCTTTGGTTGCCTGTGCTTTGGGAGTTGTATTCATGTCACAAAAAAAGGATCACATTGTATATACTGTTTGCAATTTGCTTCATACACTTAACAATATTATGAATATCCATGTCATTAAAAAATCCTCCACAGCCGTATTTTGAATGACCGCAAAATACTTCACGATATGAATGTATCATAAATCATTTAGCCAAATCCCTATTTTTAAACATTTAGATGCTCTTTATTAGCAATTTTTAATTTTGTTGCATTATAATTGGAAAATATAACCTGCCAACTTTTCATTCAGGTTTTCTCTGTACATAGTTATATAAGTGGTTACAGCATTATAGCAGTCCCTGTTGGAATCCTTAAACATCTGAAAATGTCTTTTGTTGTTCTTCACTTGGTACTGAATTTTTGTATCATCATCTTTTCCTCAAAAAGGTAAATGCAGCTCCATCTTCCTCTGACATTTATGGTACTAGATAACTCCAATGTCAACCTGACTTTTTCCTTTCATGATAAAATCTATTTTAAAAATAGGTTGTTGTAGAAATTCTAATTCTGAAATTAATTAATTTTACCTGGACATTTTTAGGTATTGATCTCTATTATTTTTGTCTTGTTTACAGTGAAACTTTTAAATCTGAATACTACTCGTATAGTCTTTTCCCTTTATGGTGGTGAATATTTCCAGTATTATTCTTTATGATTGTGTCTCCTCCTTTTCTAACTTCTCTCTTTCTAAAATTACTATGTATTTTTCATTTTTGAATCTTTGCTTATTTATAGGTTTCTTTAGATCATCTTCATCATTAATTCAGTTCTCTAGAGGATCCAGTCTTCAGGTCTCTGCCTTAGTTGGATTTTTCCAATTTGATAATCATGTTTTTCATCTGCAGAATAATTTCAAAGAAACAACATGCAGTAATCTCTAAGGCTTTCTCTACTTTGAGGGAGTAACTTATTCTCAGGGGCTCATTTGCTTTGATTCCTTAGACTAATTGATTTTTTTCTGAATGACCGAATCATTTTATAGACCTGATAGCATTTCTGCTTCTTTATTTTTTATCAGGGGCAGGGAGAAAGGGTGAGAATGTTTGTCCAGATGGCTGGAGATTGGGCGAATCCCTGTTCCAGTTCACTGGCAGATGATTTCCTCACTTACGATTACTCCTCTCTTAATCAGCTTCCACCCTGCTCTCTCTGCCTTACAGGAATTCTTCACGTTTTCAGCAATGGGGATGGCACATCCCCTGATTTCCAGCACAGGCACATACCCCTTTTCCCCCGATTTCAACGATGTTTTCAGTGGTTTCAATTGGTATGGGTAATGTGGGCAGGAAGGCAGAGAGAAGAGAGTCAGAACTTTTAGACGCAGAGGGAAGCTCAGATTATCATTGCATTCATTTGTCTTGGTGTTGCTTTAACAGAATACCTGAGATTGGGTAATGTATAAAGAAAAGAGATTGATGTGGCTTGTGATTCTGGGGCAGCTGCATCTGGCGAGGGTCTCAGACTCCTTCTACTTATGGCAGAAAGTGAAAGGAGATCACAGGGCGAGACCAGAAGCAAGAGAGAGGGCGGGGAGGTGCCAGGCTCTTTTTTAATAACCAGCCCTCATGAAAATAAATCCATTCCCATGAGAGCTCACTCAGTCTCAAGGGAGGCTGTTCATCTATTCATGAGGAATCTGCCTCCACCTCAGTGACCCAGGACCCTCCCTCTAGACCCCACCTCCCAACACTGCCATATTGGGAATCAGATTTCAACATGAGTTTTGGAGGGCCAAACATATCCAAACTGTAGCAACCATACTGAGCCATAAATCCATTAAGCAGATACCAGTGAAAACTCTGGTGGTCAACTGGTATATTTCAGGAGGCCTCGTTTGCAAAGAGGAACAGAGACTTCTGTTCTCATTCCTTCCTTTAGCTTATTTGTGCACAAATAGTGTTGTGTACATGGAAGTCTTCTGCTTTACTCATTGTGTCTACCCCTCCTCATTCTTGTTTTGATTTACAGAAAGATGTGGACAAGGAGTTCTATTTATTTCCCACAGTATTTGATGAGAATGAGAGTTTACTCCTGGATGACAATATTAGAATGTTTACAACTGCACCTGATCAGGTGGATAAGGAAGATGAGGATTTTCAGGAATCTAATAAGATGCACTGTGAGTAGGGTATCATCCACCAACCTATCCATTTATTTCAGTATTACATAAGCAATGCTTTTAATTAAACCAAAATGCAAATAGCTTTGCTCATTGATTAATTTTCAATAAATGATTAAATACAATAGTGCACTGAGGGGACTATCATTGGTTATTTACTGTCAATTACTCATTATTTTATTTAATTCAGAATAAGTAGACATACAAGATATGTCAATTAGATGAATGGTCCTTAAAGTGTGGTCCCTGGATCAGCAGCCTCAGTATCACCTGGGGACTTGTTCAAAATGCAAATCTTGGGCCCCAACCATGACCTACCTAATCAGAAATTTTGGGGACAGGTCCCAGCAATCTGTTTAACAAACCCTCCAGGTGATTCTGATGTATGCTCAAGTTTGAGAACTACTGGATTAGATGCTTTTCTCATCTGTGGCTCTGTAATGATAGGCTTATTTCATTATTCAATGTGAAGAAAGTTATGATCTCTTCCCTCAGTGATTCTCACCTTTGACTGCACATTAGAATCACCTGGGAGCTTTTAAAAATTTCCAATGCCCAGGACAACTGCAGAGATTTTTATTTAATTAAAGCCTAGCATCAGATTTATTTTTTAGCTCCCAGTGTAATTTTAAAACATGGTTAGGATTTACAGACAGTGAGCTAATTGTTCAAAAGGCCCATACCACTAGTGGGCAACATTAAAAATTATTGTATCTGGTAGATGAAAAAAATGTAAAGTTCTGTTACAAACTGATGCTGTTTTTTGAGCTGGACTGGTACTAGTCACACTACCCAGAATCTTCAAAATATTTCTTTTGAGTCTGCATTTTGTCATTTTGAAGGTGTGAAGAATATTATCCGTTGGACATATCAGTGAGAGAAAATTTCCTGTGTATAACCTTTCCTGTTATTCAGGATGAATCATGTAGAACGGCAAACACACTTCCAATATATGGTGCCCAGGAAAAGCTGCTATTATTCATAGACTTGGATATTTACAAATATGACCACTAAAAGAACCGAGAATGACAGCTAAAATCTCACTGGTCCAGCTAGGAAGAACAGTGGCATTCCCAGGAGAAAAGCTGCTATTATTCATAGACTTGGATATTTACAAATATGACCACTAAAAGAACCGAGACTGACAGCTAAAATCTCACTGGTCCAGCTAGGAAGAACAGTGGCATTCCCAGGCTGCTAGGGACACTGGCGCAGAACTTCAAGGCCCATGTATTCAGCTCTGCTCTTTTCTGCTTTTTCTACTCTGGGAGTGGTGGGGACAGCAGTGTTGCAGAGACACTCGTGACACATAAGGGTGGGCAGGACTGAATGGGTCTTTTAAAGATTAAAGAAAAAAAAAACAAAGTTGGCTCTGTAAAGGCTGGTAGGTTATCATGTAGTAGGACATAAAATAAACTACTTTCATGATGTTATTTCCCAACTTTTACAGCCATGAACGGATTCATGTATGGGAATCAGCCTGGTCTCAATATGTGCCAAGGAGATTCAGTCGTGTGGTACTTATTCAGTGCTGGAAATGAAGCTGATGTGCACGGGATATACTTTTCTGGAAACACGTATCTGTCAAGAGGAGAAAGGAGAGACACGGCAAACCTCTTCCCTCACACAAGCCTCACCCTCCACATGAGGCCTGACACAGAAGGTATATATTTTTAAAGCCAAGTCAAGTCTCTATTGGATTGATTTGTGTGTTTTTGATTTAAAATCTTGTAGCAGAACCTGTTGGGTGATAAACTCATCGCTTCCCCAAGCCTCCCAAATGCCCTTTCTTCACTTGGAAGAGCAAGTCTAGGCCACAATCAGCTGAGATGTATCATTTTGACATACTAGACTCCTCAAGATGATCCCCTCTTAAATTATGGTCCTTTTAAAGATAGCTGAAAAATCAGACTGGAAGGGGAATGATTCCCATAAAGGATCTGCATCTAAACGTTTCATGTCTCTGTAGCCTAAATGTAGTATTGGCTTGTTGGCTGCTTGCAATCGAATATTCTACACTAGAACTACAGTCATGCAAATTCAGAGACACCTACAGAACTGGGTCTGAATGAGTAAAACAATTAAAACAAAAAAGAAGGAATTTTAATCAAAATGTGAAAATATGCTAACTTGCTTCAGGTTTATTTGATTCATTATGTGCCACTAAAACTTAAGACAGATCCTGTGTCCATTTTCCTTCATTCGTTTGAATGTAAATATGATGAACAAAAGAGATAAAGTATCTTATGCAGCTGGAATTCTAATGCAAGGAGACAGACAACAAGTATATTAATACATACATGTCAAGTGGTTATAAGTACATGAAGAAAAATAGGACAAAGAGAGGAGATGGAGACTATGGCAAAGGGGTCAAGACTCTCAGGAGGTGATAATTAAGAGAGCTGAATCAAGTGAGGGCATGAGCTGCGTGGATATTTGGAGAGCAGTGTTCCAGGCAGAGGAGGAAGCAAGTGCAAAGGTCCTGAGGCCAGCACACACTTGCCTGTTCTAAGACCAGCAAAGAGGGGAGAAGCAAGTGCAAAGGTCCTGAGGCCAGCACACACTTGCCTGTTCTAAGACCAGCAAAGAGGCCTATGTGGCTGGAGGGGAGTGAGTGGGTGATGTGATCAGAAGTGTGGGAAACCAGATCATCTAACTGGGGCGTGATAAGGACTTTGGTACTGATTTTGAGTGAGGTGGGGAGTCACAGAGGATACTGAGCAAAGGAGTGACGGACTTTCTTATTTACCACTCCAGGGACTTTTGATGTTGAGTGCCTCACAACCGATCACTACACAGGGGGCATGAAGCAAAAATACACTGTGAGACAATGCAGGCAGCTGTCTGAGGAGTCCACCTTCTACCTGGGAAAGAGGACCTACTATATTGCAGCGGTGGAGGTGGAATGGGATTACTCCCCAAGCAGGGAATGGGAAAAGGAGCTGCATCATTTCCAAGAGCAAAAGTAATTCTTCCGACTGATTCCCAATTTGTGCAGCAGTAACTCTAGGTTTCCCTTTCAGAGAAGTACGAATTATGCTAAATTTTCAAAAAACAGTTACATTAAATTCATTCATTTCTACCTTTCTCAATTTTCTCACAGGAAAATTTCCATTCATCTCATTTGATTCTTTGGAATCACCCATCTTGCTTTCTTTTCTATTGGACTGTCTTCTCCCATTTGTGTGCCCTTATCTTGTTATTTATTTTCACACAACTAAAATTAATGCCCAAATTCAGAGCTAAAATATTATTTTCCTTACCAACTATTTGCTGCTTGTCTGATCTTTCCTCTGAAGATTTTATCATCAGTCTAATAATCAGTTATTTCACATTCCTAAAACTGTTATGCATAAAATAATATTTTAATGCTTGAGGGCAGTATAGCAGGTATGGCCTCTGCCCTCCGAGAACTTACAGGAACATATAGTTCAAAAGCACCAATAACATGTGCATTATGGAAAAGTAAAAAATAAAAATTTGGTGTGAATAAATGTGAGTAAAGGATGGTCACGGGAGCTTCAGGAACATGAATTTGGAGCAGCATCACCTGATGCTTCTGGTTAGCCCTGTCACACTTTTCCAAGCACTTTCCCTCTATCGTCTCACTTACGTCACACAGTGACCCTGCATGCATAGGATCTGAGAGATCGATTGGGACAAGCAGGTGTTCAGACCCAGGGTGTGCAGCATGACCTGTAGCTGAGCAGGGGTTAGCTGATTAGTTTCACTGTAGTGTAAAGGGGTAAAAGGTTATTTTGGTGATTAGGTAAAATGCTTAAAAGGTTATGGAAGTCCCTGGAGTGAATGAAATGTTCAGGAAAAGGAAATGACTGGAAAAAACAGCCATTTCGGTTCATACAGGCCGGTAACACTGCAGTAACCACAGAACACTTAATTAGTGAAATCTGGGCTCATAAAATTTGAGTTATAGAGAAACCTTAGAGATGATCTCTTCTAATACCTCATTTTAGGGGTGAAGAAACTGAGGCTCCAACAGACATTGACTAGCTGGGGGTTATTTTAGCTGGTGGCAGAGTTAGGGCCAAGACTCAGATGGCCCCGCTCAGACGGGTAGGTGTACTTTCTGCCATACCTGTCTATTTTTAAAGTCTTTTCTTTGTCACTGGGATGGGAGAGTGATGATTAAAAACTACTATAATTGGGGCTGGCCAGTTAGCTGAGTTGGTTAGAGTGTGGTGTTGATAAAATCAAGGTGAAGGGTTCTGATCCCTGCATTAGCCAGTCACCAAAAAAATTAAAAAATTAAAAAATAAATAAATAAAAACTATCATAATTATGTCAATAGAAACTATATTTTTATTCAAAATTTAAAACTTAAAACCTAACTTCCACTCTCAGAAGACAAATACTAATCTTAGTTGTTTTTGTTTTTGTTTTTTAAGTGTTTCAAATGCATTTTTAGATAAGGAAGAGTTTTACATTGGCTCAAAGTACAAGAAAGTTGTGTACCGGCAGTACACTGACAGCACATTCAGAGTTCCAGTGGAGAGAGAAGCTGAAGAAGAACATCTGGGAATTCTAGGTACATTGACAGCTCCAGCTCATCAAGTGTGGGTTAGTGATGTGGTGCTACAAGCAGTGACAGTCCATCCACGTCTATGGGTTTCACTTTCTCGGTTCATATATCAAAGTTATTCAAATAAAAAGAAAAATCAGTTACTCAATAAAAATGAAAAGCCTATGCTTACTAAAGAATATGGATAATAAAATATTACTTCTGTCAGAAACAATGTATATCCTATATACTGATGAAATTGTATATATGTGGTGCTTATAAAATTGATGACTATAGTTTAGGTGAAGTTCCTAGAAACTACTTTCTAATGAAATTTTTAACCAAATTTTCCCCATTATCTTATCCTGGCCCCCCAAAAAATCATTTTTTACTTTTAAAAGTAATATATAAATGATTAATTACAAGAAATACACATACAGACAAGAAAATAAGGAAAATAAAAAGTTTTACCATACACAAGGCAGGGGAAAAGTTGCCTTCAATTTTTCAGGAATCACTTTAAGACAGAATGTGTAAGAACTCCACCAACACTAGCCACACTAGCATTAGGAATTTTCCTGGAAACCATCAAGTGCCAGGGACACCCCCCAACACACACAACCCGACTGTGGTCCACACTGTCATTGCTTCCCGGACTCGGTTATCCTCAGCCCCTGAAGTAAGACATGAAGGGGAAGATGGCATTGTTGCTAGATCACAGAAATCCTACCAGGCAGGAGACAAGTTAAGATTGGCTAGAGAGTTGACACGGGAGGGATAGCCCTACCCTTTCACAGATGATACTGTCCTAAATGAACACTCAGGAAGGGTTGGAAGTCCAAACACTGAGAAACAGCAGCAGGCGCTGTAAAATGACTCCTGGCAGGGAACAAACTCACCATAATTAGGTCATTACTCTGCAGGGGACTGTCAGGCTAAAACCTCCCTTAGAACTCCTGGTAAGTGATACAACATGATCTCCATCTTTAGAGGCAACCAATTCTCGTGTTTTTTTTTTTTTAAATCACAAATCTTCTGGGACATGGTATAAATCCAAGACTATTACAGCATGAGACCGTAGGGAAAAAAAGAGGCTTCAGCCTTCATGCTGAGAAAGTTACCTGATCTTTGCTTTTATCACCAAGTTAGAACTTTCAGTCTGACAGGTAAATAAGCCACTCTTTCTTTTCACTCTTGCCAGGTCCACTACTTCATGCAGATGTTGGAGACGAAGTTAAAATTATCTTTAAAAACATGGCCACTAGGCCTTACTCAATACATGCCCATGGGGTGAAAACAGAGAGTTCTACAGTTACTCCGACATTACCAGGTACTAATGGTGGGGGAGGAATTTTATTTATTTATTTATCTTTAAATTTTTATTGAATCAAAATTGATCATACATAATTTTGGTGTTCAACATTGAGATATGTTGATCAAATCAATATTACTAGCATATATATTGTTACAAGTTGTAATTATGCTTTATGCCCCTTGTCCAATTTCACCCTATCCCCTTCTCCCTCCCCTCTCTATTTACCCTAGATTTCTTCTCTCCTTCTGAAAGAATAATGGTTACTCTTTTGATCTGTTGCCTAGATGATCTGTCCAATGCTGAGCAGTGTGGTCAGGTCCTCCAATATTATCATAGAGCAGACGCTTCTTCTGTCGCTCTGGAATGGGCTTTGTGAAGAGAGACATCCTCTTCTTCACTTTGGTCTCTGCTGGTGACTCTCCTTGTGTCAGTGCACTCCAGTGGCTGGCGGCCCATCTGCATGGTGGTTGTGGCATCTAGCCACTTTTGCAGCAGCCATGGTTATGGTGGTGGCTGTGGTGGGCCACCCACATGGAGGTGATGTTTTTGGTATGCTCCTTGGCGCTGGTGGTGTGCCTGGTTGTGGTAAGGGGGTCTGGTCTACAGCTCCATGCCCTGTGCCCCCAGGTGGGCCCCAAGGTGTTGGTGGTGTGCCTATGCCAGAACTAATTTTTTATCCTTTGCTTACTTCTAAAGTGGGGGAACTTCCTGTGGGAACCACTATTTGAACTGTGTGGTTGAGCTAAATTGCTGTTTTGCTGCTGTTTCCCTAGGGAAGGCTTTTTGTGCAGCTCAGTGTTAATGGTTGACCTTATAGGTATTTCTGGCTCTGCAGAGACCTGGTGCACCTGGGTTGTGTAGAAACTCTGATCTGGGGCTGAGTTTTTTCATCAAACTGCACCCTATGCAATTCTGCATTCCTGACCAGTCTCCTCTGAGTGGTCCTGTGCTGATTAGGGGGTGGATTGGCTGTTCTCGCTGTGCCCCAGTGTTCTCCTGGTGGGCCCATCTCTACCACTGCCTGTGCTCTAAACACTTCCCATGGGACAGGTCTGAGCCGGTCCTTGCGATGACTTACCAGCCTCTGAATGGCTCCCCTTTTACAGCTGTCCTGGCTCCTCGCTCCTGCGTGGGTCCACAGGAACCCTATTAGTGGTCTTGCTGTCCTGGGGGCCACCAAGACCCTCTTTTCCCTGCCGCCTCCAAGTAACTCCGTCTGAAGGACACAGCTGTGGCTTCTGCCAGCTCCTGCTCCATGTGCTTAGTAGCTCCAGCCTTAAAGCAGCCATGGCATGAAATGCTCAGAGCAGCTTTTTCTTTCTCTCACTGTGGTTTCTCCTGCCTTCATGAACTCCGTAGGTCTCTCCTCCTCTTCCCCTGAGCTCCAGCAGCCCCACCTTGGCTGATGTTACATTTTTATAGTTGTAAATTGGTTGATTTGTGGGAGAAAGTGATGCTGGGGACAGTCTATTCTGCCATCTTGACCAGCACTCCCTGGGGGATGCATTTTAATAGACTTTACAGCCTTTTCACAAATGACTATTATCATAGAGGTATTCCTTCCAAACGTGTGGGCTGAGGAAGTGAAGAGGGAGTTGGTTGTTGTGGATATGTAGGGAGGTGTCTGTGTGTGTGTGTGCACGTGCACACATTCATACCAAAAAACCCCACAGGAGCACTGTAAAGAAAAAAACAGAAGGTACTGGACATCTACAAATATTCAACGGTGAGTCAAAGAGATGCTGTCTCCACATTCAGCTGGAACACACCTCCGATGGCACCTACCATACTTGGTGTGGCTGAATGTCTCCATGCTGGTCTCTTGCAGGCGGAGTCCAAAGGGCCAGAGGCTGTCACTTAGAGTTTTAAATCCCCTGTTTGGTCCTAGGAGCTAACAAATGTTTCTTTAATTAACACAGAGTAAAAGCTGAAATAGATTATATACTCAGGTGTGTATTTTCTTTCATAAGAACTGTATATTTCTTATATTAGTTGCAAAGTTGTCTTTTAGGGAAAGATCATTTCTCAATAATTTAGCAGTTCTCAAATGATCTTTTCGTTGATATCAAGTGAGAAAAAATAAATTGCTCTATAGAGTTGTGCTTGTCAATTTAGGTGACTAGAAATAAAAATCTTCCCCTTGTGGCCCTCATATTCTTCTGAGGAAGATAAACAAATATATTCATAATGTCAAGTAGTAAAAAATGCAATGGAAAAGATCCAGCAGAGTGAGAGAGAGTAGCAAGGGTGTTATTTTAGGTAAGGTAGTCAGGAGGGCTTCTTTGAGGAGGTGACATTGGTGAAGACACCTAAATGATGAGAGGTAGTAAAGGTGAGGTAATTGTGGGGGAAGAGATTCCAGGCCCCTGAGATGGGAGTGTGCTTGGTGTTCTAAGGAACAGCAAGGAGGCCAGAGGCTGGAGCAGAGCAGACATAGGACAGAGGGTTAGGAGATACGATCCAGGTAGAGCAGGGGGCCAGATGGAATAGGGAGGATCCAGAAGGCCAAAATTAGGACTTGAGATTTTATTCTAAAAACCCATGTGAGGGTTTGAGCTGAAGAGTGATTTGATGAGCACTTTTGAAAGGGCGATTCTGGCTGATGTGTGGCTAAGTGACTATGGGTGGGGATAGAAGCAGGGATCAGTTAAGGGACTATCACAATAATCTGGGTAAAAAAAAGAATCACTGAGATTTTGGAATAGGGCGGAAGCAGGTGAAGTGGTGAGAAGCTATATTCTGGTTCTATTTCAAAGGTGGTGCTAAAAGGACATGGTGAAAATTGGGCATTAGGGAGTGTTGGGGAAGAGAGGAGTGGCTGAAGGTTTTGGGCACTGACCACTGGTGGAAGAGCAGGTTGGGAAGGGGAGTGGAGAAGAGAAGGAAATGGTATTTTGCAGCTTACAGAAGTAAATAAAAGTAGAGATGGATAGAGAGTAGTATGTCCAGGTGGTGAATCAATACTTCTATATTCTCAGTGAAACTTTCTGCTTAGAAACAGGGTGAGGACATAGGAACAGCTAAGATTGAGGGCTTGAGGAAAAAGGGAAAAGTCTACCACGTCCCTTGAGACCATCCCTCATGTCTTGCTTGATTTCCTAGTAAAGGTCTGTGGGACCATGGCAAGTTAGACTCTGACAGCATGAATACGTAATAGTGAGGTCCACGTAGATGGAGTGGACAGTGAGTATGGTCAGGATTGGTGCGTGGGCCTGGCTGAAAGTCAAGGTCTATGAGCAGTTGTACAGGGAGCCCTGAGATGACTGGAAATGGAGATCAGACTTCAGAAGAGCCTGGAGCACATACGAAGAGGGTAAGGGCCTCAGCAAGGTAGGAGCAACCGGCCATCTTTAAAGTGTCAAGGTCCAGGGTGTGGTTATGTCCTGTATGTGACAGAGTGGCGTATGCTATCACAGAATGGAATGGACTAGAGAGGAGATAAGCAGAAGTGTGACAAGTCAGTAACCCATGAGATCAAGAGGTCTAACGGCTCCTCACCAGGAATCCTGAGCTCCCCGAGGATGATGGTGAGAGAGGAGTGGGGGAAGGCCACGGCGAGGCTGAGGGAATTACACAGTTGTGTCCAGACACACAGATGCAGAGAAGACTAGGGGGAAGTGCGAGCCACTGCAGAAAATCACTCAGTGTTAGAAGAGAAAAGAGCGTATTAGGAAAATATACTTTAAGCTAAGAAAAGATCGGTTACAAAGTTTCCTCAAATTATGATATTGGAATTGCCACCTCTTAACTTTGTGGTATGGCAAGTGTGTCACAGCTAGTTAATTCATAATTGACAAAAAAATGACATAAAAGTATGTCTTACAGTTTGTATTAAAATGAAATTCATGTGAAGATTTTGAGTACTACTATGTTTTAAAACTAATTGCCCTGGCACTTTCACATATCAAACATAAACCAGAAATAACCAGAAACATTAATATTTGATTAATTTAGGTGAAACTCGCACTTACATATGGAAAATCCCAGAAAGATCTGGAGCTGGAACAGAGGATTTGGCTTGTATTCCATGGGCTTACTATTCAAATGTGGATCAAGTTAAGGTAAACTAAATCGTTTGTGTTTTGTTGCAATTCGCCAAACAGTCACACAATTGAAGAAAGAAGAGGTTGGAGTTTTCCTGTGGTCTAATTCTGTGTTAAAATCCCAGGGTTCTGTAATCTACTTTAGCTTTTCTTGATTTGCTTGTTTTTAAGGATACAGTTATAACTACCCTGACTACTGATTATGGATAACACTTATAGAAATTAAATATCAATCAATGTAGTATTTTAGTTCCCTTTTGATGTGAAAATACATTAAACTCAAAGAACTGAGGTACATGGTTTCAGAGCTCTATTTTTACCTGATCTCAGCCGTCAATCACAGCACAACTAAAGCTGTTGAGGGAAATATTTCAAAACCAAAAAACGGTCAACAACCAAAAATTAGGCAAAATTTCTAGACCGCTTTGTAGAATTAAATGTCTAGTCCAAATGCCTCTTCTGAGTTCCCATCCTGTCCATTCACCTACCTACTGGACGGTACCACCAGCAGTTCCCACAAGCACTTAAAACTCAGCGATTCTAACATGGACACCGAGACCTTCCTCTACCCTCTTCTGTATTTCCTGTTGTAACAAATAGCAACACAAATACCAATGTACCCTCTGTTCAAGCCAGAACTCCGAATTATCAGGCACCGCTTCCCCTGGCTCACCAGGCAATTCACCCACCTGCACATGGCTCCATCCATTCCTTCTCTCCTCCCTGTAGTTCAGGTCCTTGAAACTGGCCTCAACTACTGCAATGGCCTCCTGGCCTCGCCTCTTCCCACTCCAAGCCTTCCTTCACTCCACCAGGATGATTGGTCTAAAATGCAAATATGCTGCCATTCTCTGTTCAGTTTTTCAATGCTACCTATGACACATATGACAAAACCTAAAATTCCCTAAAATGATAAAGCTCAAAGGCCCTTCAAAACCTAATCTGCCATTACTGATGCCCAGCCAAACCAAGCTTAGATTTGAATCAATTGCGGTCTTCCTCCTCTGTGCTCATTAGCACTCTGAGTACCTCCAATGCAGCTGACAGTTTCTTCTATTTCTATTTTTTATTTCTCATTTCTTCTATTGTATTTTCCCTACTAGACTGAGTACCTGGGGGGCAGGCTTAGTTTCACTTATCTCTGGGTTTTCAGTGACTGATACAGTGCTTGGCTCATACTCATGAGTTCATGAGCTTATGAAATAAACTAAACTGTTCATTTGGGGTTCTTTTAAATTACTGCTCATTAGCTGAACCAATGTTTGGCCTCTGCACACATCCCTGTTACCCTAGCATGACACATGACCTATCTACTACTCACCATTGTTACAATTTAACTACTTCAGATGAAAAGTTACTGAGCTGGCAGTACCACATTGGGCAAAGTCTACTACTTAAATCAAAATTACTGAGGTCATGGGTGATAAGGTCCCAGTTCTCTGAAATCTCGATCTACATCACAAGGATGACTGATGTTTTCTCTTGTTTTCAGGATCTCTTCAGTGGATTAATTGGCCCACTAATTGTTTGTCGGAGACATTATGTGAAAGTATACAATCCCATAAAGAAGAAGGAATTCGTCCTTCTGTTTCTAGTTTTTGACGAGAATGAATCTTGGTACTTAGATGACAACATCAAAACATATTCTGATCACCCTGAGAAAGTAAACAAAGACAATGATGAATTCATAGAAAGCAATAAAATGCATGGTATGGTCATTATTCTAAAACCATTTTTTTCCTTTTCTTCCTTTAAATAAAATTACTTTGGAGACTGTTCATTTGTTTCATTTTAAAATAAAACACTGCTGTCTCACTTTGTATGTGAGGTAGAATTCTGTTCAAAGCAAAAGGGGACTATGTTCAAAATCATTTACTAATATCTGTCCCAATTCCAAAATCTCATTCCCTTTTAAATAAATAAATCCAAAATTAGAGTTAAGGCTTTTGGTGCAAAGTGACTAGAAAAGCACTGTGTGACATTATTGACCTTAAAGTAACCATTTTCCCCATTGTAGTGAAATAAGTCCTATTACATCAAAATGATTCCTTACATTAACCTAATAATCATATTTCCAGCCATTAGTTTAAACTATCCTGAAAGTAATATAAAATCATGTGCTTTCCCCAGCTATTAATGGAAGAATGTTTGGAAACCTACAAGGCCTCACAATGCATGTGGGCGATGAAGTCAACTGGTATCTGCTGGGAATGGGCAATGAAATAGACTTGCACACTGTACATTTCCACGGCCACAGCTTCCGGTACAAGGTAAGAGCCACCCACAGCAGTTATTCTTGCTCTGTTTGAAAATGTTTTAATACAAAAGAAGAAAATATTTCCTCTGAGGGATTTATGAAAAATTGAAAGTTTGAGAGTGTAGGCACACCAATCTCAACTGGCATGCCAGCCTCCGTTCTGTTATATACCCTGGGCTCTTCCTTGGATTTGCACTTTTTACTGGATTTTCATGGAGTTCTGCTCACACATTTCTGAGTAAGGCATTTGAGTGTAATTGTTAGCTGAAAGGGTAGGAGTGTTCACATAATGATGGATAAGAAAGTAGGGACCAGTACAAGATTTTATTATACCCTTGTCCTGCCTGTTCTATGTTCTATATCTTAAATGGCCTGAGGTGAGAAAGATCATCAGTTAGGAGTCAAGCAACTGACAGACTGGTCCCTGATCTCAATCCTACTTCTATTCCTTTCCCAGTGCTGATTTTGGCAGAAACCAATGGCCCTTCTGGAAATGCTTTTCTCTTACCTTTGAGTTAATGTATAAAATGCAGAAGCTACCAAAAAATACATTGCAGGAGGTCCACTTTATTGTGTGCATTTTGTTTTACATAGATATATTTTATAATATATATAACATAATATATTATATTATATATTATATGGACTTTGAATTCTATCTCTGCAGAAATATGCCCAACTATTATCTCTAGTCCAGTCTCTGCCTGAACTGCCCCTGGTTTTCGGCCTCTTTTTTGCTCCCTTTATTACTCTCCTTCCCCTAAAATTTCAAAAACAAGCTAGTCTAAGATAGGTTCAGGCAAAAGTGAGGTTAAAGCTGAAATGGGGCCATGGCTAAACTCCTTCATGTAGCTCAAGTGCCCTGACAAAGAGTCAAACCAGAGTCCTTACTCATGAACTCACTTCCATCACATCTTCTTTCCTTCATACCCACCTGATGGCCCATAGTGCCAAGGGCTTAGTAGGAATACAAGGACCACATATCTCACTGTTTGTATCAAACACAGAAATGAGCAGGGACTCATTTTTAAAAATAGGCATCCATTTTTCTAATATCCCTGAGTGGGCCAATGAAAGATTATTGGAGTGAACTCTCACATACAATGTTATATATAATATCTGTCATTTTTCTAATTAAGCACAGGGGAATTTATAGTTCCGATGTCTTTGACATTTTCCCTGGGACATACCAAGCCCTAGAAATGTTTCCAAGAACACCTGGAATCTGGTTACTCCACTGCCATGTGACCGACCACATTCACGCTGGAATGGAAACGACTTACACAGTTCTACCAAGTAAAGGTGAATATCCAGTTAGTAATTCCCAAAGTCATATAGCATGAATATAATTAAGATACACTAGTTTACATAAATAATTCCCCAATATGAAGCATTTGTGAATTTTCTGCCCTGATTTCTTCATTCTCTACCTCCAAAGAGGAATTTTTACTGCTAAATGGTATGGAATACTGCTTATTTCCTAACAGCTGGTACTTAAAACAACTGGCACTTAAAAATTGACACTAATTTGAGGCAGTGTAATTCCACAAGCTGATATAAGGGACTGGTCATGTTAGTTATTCACCAAAAAACAAACTATGACTTACAAAAGACATGTTCAGGATTTAATTTCTTAAAAGAAAACATCAACTTTTTTCTAGGTAGTATCTTGTACCTAAGAGAAGCCCAAGACAGCCTCAGATAATTGATATATAATTTCTGTCAATCAGGCAAGGATTGTCCTTCTGTGCTTCAAAGAAAAGAGGAGAAATTATTGATTATTGTTTGTAAAAGATGTAGAAAAGAAATACAATTTAAATTTCCTGCTCCCTAACCTCTGCAACACCCCTCTCCCCTACGTAGGTATACACACATACTCTCTCTAGAAATGCAGGAAAACAAACTGCCTTTTTGTGGATACACACCAGCAAAATTTGTCAAGAGTGAAACTCCTGTGCTGTGGTTGCAGCCTCTGGTCTTTCCTGGGTCTTTTGAATTGAGAATTGTTGGACCAGGAAATGGCAAACCCAACAAGGGGAAATTATACAAAGAAAACAACTCCTTATGTTTCCTCCTCAAAATGGGGATAAAAAGGAACATATAAATGGAAGAAAATATAGAAGTAAATATATTTCAAGATTAAAAATCACTGAAAGATTAACACTTAATGCAAATGAAAAGCTTTAATTTCTGCTCGTAGGTCTTACACGAACACCTTGTGTCTTAAAAAACGATTTCCATTAACAGTTTTTATGATAAAGAGTGGTTACTGATAAAACCAAACACCAAAGACTTGAACAGACAAATAAAAAACTGAGTTTAATGCCAGTAACTTGAACGAGGTGAAAAGAGTCAAAGATTATGAGAAAGAAAATTTTACAGTCTGTAAAAAACACTAGCTTGCAGGTAAACCACACAAAAGAATGGTCGTGTTCAGAAAAATAACGGAGAGTAAGGGAACACTGCAGCATTCGGGGAATTCTTGTGAGCAAATACTCAGCATGCACAGGATGATCCTCTAGGCTAATTTTACAAGCAGATACTGAGAAGATTCCCACTGTACAACAGGCCTGGAAGGAGGAGTGACAGATGACCACATGGCTAAGAAAGGGGAGATTGCTCTTAAAGCCGTAGGGAAAACTGCAGAATAGTAAATATGAAGGAAAAACACACATTGGAAAAAAGATGAAAGAGAAATTTGACTTTTACAAAGAGAAAAGGTATTGTATGGGACTGAAAGAAGCAGTAACAAATGAAAAATATAGTTTGCACTATACACGGAAAAATGGGGAGCCATATTTATCAGTTTGAATGTCTCTATAAAAGTTTGATAAAGCTTTGGGCAAGTTTACATTAACTATGAGTCTTAGAAAAATATCTGCCTACCATTGCACAGACAAGAGAGCATATGAGTTTAGACCGAAATTTTTCAGTATCCTGTGCCAAGGAGACAATTGCCTCCACAAAGAAAAAAATCATTAGAAAAGAATGGTGGATATCCCATCATACTTAATGTAATGCCTCATTTCCCCTACCAGGAGAAGCATGTAGAGACCTCCTATGACAAACGTAAAAGGTACTTATTTTAGACTGTGACATTTCTATTATACTCAGATAACCTCTGGATGCAATTTGTAGAAAAAGAAGCTTGTATAAGCTTTAAATTCCTTATAAGCAGGGACTATGTATTCTATATTTCTACCTAAGTAACCAAACCCAATACAATACTGTGCTTGGTGAATATCCAACAATATATTTATTCATTTAAAACTTTTAAAAATAAATTCCTTTAAAAAAAACTTTAAAATTTTGGACATAATTTCAGACTTATAGAAAAATTACAGTAGTAGTACAAAAAATCCCATATACCTTCACCCAGATTCCCCAAATGCAAACGTTTTACATAGCCACATTTGCTGTCTTATTCTCTATTTCCCGCTCTCTCCCCTTACACTTATAAATATATATATCCGTATTTCCTAAAAACAATATTCTTGTGCTTAACCATAATTTCCTGATTTTGATAACTGTATTAACAATGATTAAAAACTATAGATCTTTTAAAAACTTCACCAATTAATACTAATCATTCTTTAGAGAAAAAGAAAATCTCAGATCATGCATTGCATTGTTGGCATGTCTTTTTAAAAGTCTCTCTTACTCTGGAACAGTTCCTTGGTCTTTGTCTTTCACAGCTTTGACATTTTTGAAGAATACTGGGCATCACCTTGTAGAATGTCCTTCAGTTTGGGTTTGTCTAATATTTCCTCATGATGAGACTTAGGCTATGCATTTTTGGCAAGACTATCATGAAATGCTGTTGTGTTTTTCTCAGTACTCCATCACAAGAGGCATAAGATATTGACTTGTTCTCTTATTGACTATGTTAACTTTGAGCATTTGGTTAAGGTGGTGTCTGCCAGGTTTCTCCACTGCAAAATTACTATTTTTCCCTTTATAATTTATAAAGATCTTGTAGGGAGAAAAGTAATTTTTCTTTAAATACAGTAGTACTAAAATGAGAGATTTATAAACATATGAAAAGTAGAAAAATATAAATGAATCAACAATGATTAAATAACGGTTTAAAAAGTAGAATACATTTAAAGCACCATCTACTAATTTTTTTAACCAAATAATATATATTATTTTTAATAATGGTCATAAAATTTCTTTTTCTATAGAGACCAAGTCTGACTGAAAAAAATAAATTGGTGATAATGGAAAAAAAAGAAAGAACAATTCACAACAACGCATGTGAAAAAGTACTGAATAGAATGTTTACTTTGAAATGACTATATTTTTAAAAAGACTGAAAACATATAATTTTGTGCATTTGTATTAACCGTGTTACCTTATTGCAGATGGAAAAACGAACAGACTGTATTATGATATATGACTGACACTTGTACACTGGGTAATAGAATCGATTCATACATGCCACTCCTACCACTACTATTAGGGCTTTACAAAACTACATAAAAAAAAAAAATCTATAATCAGACATTCTTCTGGGTGGTCTTCAAAGGATCACTATTAAGCTTCATTGAAATGCTTCCAACCATTGCCCTCCCATCAATCCCTCTAAAATGCTGCTGACTTTCTTAATGAACTGGTGGGCAGGGGGCATAAGGTGTGGAGAAAAAATAAATGAATAAATAAAATGTATTAGTCCATTTGTGTTGTTATAACAGAAATACCTGAGACTGGGTAATTTATAAAGAACAGAGGTGTATTTGGCTTACGATTCTGGGACGGCTGCATCTGGCATGGGCCTCAGGCTGCTTCTACTCATGGCGGAAAGTGGCAGCAGCCAGTGGGTACAAGCAGATCACATGGCACGAGGAAGCGAGAGAGAGACAGAGGAGGTGCCAGGGTCTCTTAAACAACAAGCTCTCACAGGAACTAATAGAGCGAGAACTCACTCATTAATGCCCCCTGCCCAAGGGAGAGCATTAATCGATTCACGAGGGATCTGCCCCCATGACTCAATCAGATTCCAACACTGTCACATTGGAGATCAAATTTCCACATGAGTTTTGGAGGGGACAACACATTCAAACTCCATCATAAAATAACATGAAATAAAATAAAAATAAAATAATGCCAATCGTAGTTTTGTAAACCCTTGAAGAGATAGTCAAAAGGAAGTTATATGAAACTGGAGAAAGGCAGAGTTGAGGAGCAATTCTACATATTAAACCCTGGTAAGGATGAATGCTGCCATCAGGAGAAAAGCTTCAAAATACAGTTGTGGCACAATTACAATTCCTTGAAGTTGATATGACAAGCGAAAAGAAAGGACGTTGTTGGGAGGGAGGGAGGGGAGGGAGGAGAGGGAGGAGGGAGGGAGGTTTTGGTAATGGGCCACAATAATCAACCACATTGTATATTGACAAAATAAAATAAAATAAAATGTTAAAAAAATAAAATAAAAAATAAAAAGCAAGCCTATCTAGCATAAGCATGCAACAAATATAGTAAAAATGTTCTGTAATGCTTAGGAGATTTCAATCAGTCTCCAATTGTAGAATAACGATTGATATCTTCATTAGCAATAGAATGAAATAAGAAGTAATCAAAAGAAAAGTATGTACTGACATTCTACTATATGGAGATACATTATTAGTTTCCGCTATTTTGCAACATTAGACAAAAAATATAAAATTGTTCCCATATGTAATGTGAAATTTTATTCTAGCCATATCTCAGGCTAACCAAATAGATGTTTCTCTTGTGGACACAATGCCTGCTGTATGTTCACAGTATATATCTTTACCCATAAAATGATCCTTATTTACAAAAAAAAATAAAATAAAATACAGTTGTGGCAGACTCTGGGTGGGTAAAATTTTTGCCCAGCCTTAACTGGATTCAAAGGACACCATCAGTGAGTTGAACTTGGACTCAAAATTCTTCATAAAGAGGTTAAAAAAGAAGACACAGTTGTGAATACAATGATATATTTCTTTATTTTCATATATGCTCTAGCTAAAAGAGCAAGAGTATACATCAATAAAAAAATGAAAACAAGGCTTTGGCTGAAAAAAACATGCATTCAACAAATCGCGATAATAGCCAGACAAGAAGAAAGTTAGTTTTGCAAACTTCTAACTCCATTTGATTCAAAGAGAAACATAGCATAAATTTTAAAATTAACAAGAAAATAAAGTTTGAAATCTTTCACAGTGGCAAAACATTAACCTCTCTGTCAAAGGCAATTATTTTTTAAAAAGTGACCCAATAGAGAAATCTGGAAATATCAAGAAAAACTTCTGAACCACTTTCAGAGTGACATTCTGTCAAGCATACTTGTAAAATGTTTCCTTAAAGTGCTCTTGAGACGATGAAGATTGTCATGTCTCCAACAGTGAATTGATGCTGTCCCTTGGAATAAAATTTAGTCTCCATCTTTAAAAATATATGGCTTCTTTTAGGAATTCTTATATCTTGAAGATTTTTTATATTCTGGACAATTAAATGGATTCAGGTCATAAATTAAGAAACTAATAGTTACCACAACATGTAAGCAGCCTGAAAGCGTTTAATATGTATATATCCTACGAAAACATATCATTTGATATACACATAATATGAAAACTCCTTTATTTTTACTGGCATTCCAGTTTTTAAAATTCAGTCCCACATGCTACTGTGATGTTTTTTAAATGATACCTTCAAGTCACTGATTTCTTTCGGCTGCAGTGAAGAAGATATGGCAAGAAAAATGCTGCAGTGCCATCTCCTGGGAGAACATTCAGGAAATCCCTCAGTTCTAGTTCCATGGCAACAATTGACAATGTTTCTGTTTGTGGGAAAGAATATTTGAGTTAGAACTGAAAGTGTATCTTTCACCCAGTTCTCTTCTTAACCAACCAATTAGAAGCTAGTTCAGGTAAAAAAAATGTTATAACTACAAAGAAAAAAACATCAGTCTCAAATCCACAGACAACTTTACGGTTTTAACAACTTTTTATCTTTTCCAGAATCCTTTGAGTTTATTTTATACTAACCCCATGCAATTTAGATTTACTATTTCATTCCTGAATTACTACACTACTTTTCAATAGATTTCTACTATGCTCTAAAGAAAAATAGAATCATTTGAACACTGTTCTTAATGCTAGGACTATACTGCAGCTAATTTATGAAGATTGCCTGCTAGGACAGGAAATACCATGAATTGTTGGATAACATTTTCCTAAATACAGTTCCCATTATGAGATTTTCATGTTATTAACAAGCACAAATCTGTTTTCATGACCATTTTACCTTTTTTTCCAAACTGCAAAGTAAGGTGCTCTAGCAATCATTTTCACTATTAAGGAATTTATCGAACATTATGTGTACGGACAATTATACAATTTTATGATTCTATGGCTTTTTAATAGATATATGCTGCCCACTCCAAGGAAGAGAAGGATGACACTTAAGACCAACGTTCACAATAAACATCCATTTGGTCTTACGGCTCTATCCGCACTTCAGTGCCATTCTCCATGTGGTCCTTGCATACCCACCACTTAACTTTATTTGCAGAGTGAACAAAACATAAAATCAATCTAAAGTCTTCTGTCCAATATTCAGAAACCTAAATCATCCTTTATATAATGGAATGACCCGCACTTGTTGCCAAAGAGTTAATGAATGGAGCAGTAGTGGTGTATAGAAAAGATACCTAGCTCTGGAATCCAACAGACTTGGGAAGGGAACCAGATTCTTCTACCTACTCACTGAGTGACCTTAAGAAAGTCAGTTAACCTCCCAAGTCCTACTTTCCTAATCTATAATTTAGTAGTACCATCTACTGGCTTCCAGAGTTCCAGTAAGAATTAAATTAAAACACAATAATGCACGTGTGACATATAATAAGACGTTAATAAACAGCAACTACTAACTAGTTTGTAAAACCCATGTGAAAACAGGATTACTGATGTTTTCCTATCAAACTATTTTTTTTTTCCTTTTTGTCTTTTTTCGTGACTGGCAACGGATCGCAACCCTCAGTGTCACGCCCATACCGGCCGGGACCGGCAACGGGATCGCAACCCTCGGTGTTGCACCCGCACCTCGCTCAGCCAGTGAGCTGCCGGTCTGTATGTGGGATCCGAACCCTCGGCGGGAGCGCCGCCACACTCCCAAGTGGCACACTGTAGCAGTGCGCCACCGGGCCGGCCCTTTCTATCAAACTATTTACTTGCCTAAATGTGGAACCTGTACACAGCAATCCAAACACTAGTGTAGAGTCATTACAGAGCCAACAAAAATCTTGCCACTGCCCAATTCTCCCCTTCTGCCAACCAATGAGGGGCTAATACAGGTTATTAACTCCAAAAATAAGGTCAATATCTTAAATCCATAGTGTTACTTTAAAAATTGATATAGTACTTCTGTATATAATTTCTCATTTAATTCCTCCTATAATCCTCTCAGGTTTTTATTTAATCTAAGAATATACTAGTAGGTATCAAGCCTGATTTACAGTTGGGAAAACTGAGGCTAAGAAAAGATTAAAATAACTTGCTCTACTCCACTCACCAGCCACTCAAACCTAAAAGTTTTCTAAGAATGACCTACCTAAATGTAAACCAGCATGCTTAAAATACTAAAGCATGTCTAGAAAATATTCATCAAATGTTGAAAATAGTTATTTCTGGCTAGAGGGATTTTAAATGACTTTTTAAACTTTATTTTTGTAATTTACTACAGTACTAGAATTTTAAAAAATAAGCATAGTTCATTATTACAAAAGCAGTAACAAATATTTTCTTAAAGAAGCCATCCAGTACGCCTAGTTTAAATGGCTCTGCAATAGTGCAGTGATTCCCAACCAGGACAATTCTTTACCCCAAAGGACCATTGGGCAATGTCTGGAGACATTTTTGTTTGTTATAACCGGGGTAGTGCTACTAGAACCTAGCGGGTAGAAGCCAGGGATGCTCTTTAACATCCTAAAATGCACAGGGGAAACCCCCATGCACAAGGACAATTATGTGGCCCAAAATGTCAACAAACCAAGGTTAAGACACACTACATTACAGAAACAACAAATCCAAGCTCTTAAACTTATTATTTTTTTTTTTTTTCTTTTGTCTTTTTCTGTGTCCAGCAACGGATCGCAACCCTCAGTGTTGCCCCCGTACCAGACCGGGGACCGGCAACGGGATCGCAACCCTCAGTGTTGCTCCCGCGCCTCGCTCAGCCAGTGAGCGGGAACCGGTCTGTATGTGGGATCCGAACCCTCGGGTGGGAGCGCCGCCGCGCTTCCCAAGCGGCGCACTTATCCAGTGCGCCACCGGGCCGGCGCAAAGCTCTTAAACTTATTAAGTAAGTCCCTGACCTGTCTCCAACCTTACTCTCTTGCAATTTTGCCTAACATTTTACTCGAGTCAGTCCTGAACTTCTCATTATTCCCAGGATGTTAAAAACCAGCTTCCTCCAGGTCACTCAGTAAGTGACAGACCTGGAACTCAGTTGCAATTCTGCAGACTTCAATCCTGGGCCCTTCTTAGTGTAATACAGCTGCTAACAGAAAGACTTGTGAAATGCCCCTGAAGTTCTTCAGGTGTCTCCCCTTCCCATCAACAGTTACAGAATGTTTCCTATGGGAAAGGCACATTGCTGTGAGGAAGACACAACATGAAAAATCAGTAAAACACTACGCAAGCTCTAGAAGCATCACAGTTTAATAAAGGTATACCGCACACAGAACTAAGCCACACACACGTGCACCTCTGTATGCACACACAAACATATTTTGAAGATAGAGAAAAATGGAACATTTGGAGGAAAGACTACAGGTAAGTTAGGGCTGAATAGAAAGAGTGTGGACATGGATTAGAAAAGGATGAAGAAAGTCTTTTGACTAAGATGATGTTGCTAAGGTGTACAGATGTGGGACATCTGCACCGGTAAGAGATCCACCAACACAAATATTCAGTGATAAATTATGTGAAAAATTTGATGCAAGTGGGGCAAAGCAATCAAACACCTAACACTTCCATCTTCTGGAAACCAAAAGCACTCAGGGAGATGGGTAGGAGAGTTAGTAGGGAGTCACCTACTGCTCTTCCCAATCATAACACGTAACTTTAATTAAATGGGGATCTTCACAAAAATAATCTCCCATGGCCCCTGGCCCTGCCTAACATTTTAATAATTAATTACCTCAGCTGGAAAATAAAATTCCAACACTGTCAATTTCTAGTAGTTTATGTGCAAGCAACATAACCATACCCTTTTTCATCAAGCCAGCAATTAATTAGTGATACTAACATAACAGTAAAAATACAGCTAATCAGGTATCTATTAAGATTTATGGGCTGGCTGGTTAGCTGAGTTGGTTAGAGCACAGCCTTATAACACCAAGGTCAAGGGTTCAGATCCCCATGCCAGCCAGCTGCTCACCCCCCACTAAAAAAAAAAAAAAAAAAAAAAAAAGGGGAAAAAAAAAAAAAAAATTTGGGAAAAAAAATTGGAAAAGCAATCATATAGGCAATTTCTTAAAAAAAAAAAAAAAGACTGTGAACAATGAAAATTCAAGTAACTACCTATGCTGTGAAATACTGTACAATTTAGAGACACTCCACTTTCAAATCCCTGAGGAACTTGTCATTCCTCAATGATTGCTTACAATTATGTCTAATAATAATAACCTTAACTTCTACATGTAGGAAATTAAGTAAATTAAGCACACAGATCATTAATAAAAGATGTAATTGTCTTAATGTCTACTCAAGTTTTTAAAATATTGAAGTTGTGAGTTTCTATGACTGTGATATGTTTGAAAAGATTAACTTAGAACATCTGATCTGTGACTACGAGAGATAAATGAATATCATACGTGATGGGGGCATGTGAATGTTGAAAATAAGCATTCCAGATGATTCTATACGTCAGCAAATTTAAAACAAAGGCTCTTAAATTTATTATCAAGCAAAAAAGATCATTCTACCTTTTAATGATGAGAGGTAAAGTCGGTATTTCTCTCCACCACATTTTATTCTCTGACAAAGTTCAGGCAGCAGTTTTTTCCACCACAGAGTCTATCTTAGGAAAAAGTGTATAAATTTTACTTTGATGTATTTTATATTCAGTTTCCAATGAGAATAAGAAGATTGTGCAAGAAAGCAAATGGCAAAGATGTACCATTTTGGTTAAGGCACCCAACTTTGATATAACACAAATTATATCAGCAGCCAGTCTTATGCTTAAACTGTAACATAAAAGTCAGGTTTGTAACTTGAAAATCCAATAATACATGTATTGTACATATGAACAAAGATATTTTCAAGAAGAAATACAAACATGTCCTGTTATCTCTTAGGTGGCAAAAAGGAAAGAAGGAAGAAAAGAAAAAGTACTAAAATCTAAAACTCTTCTAATTTCTAAACTAAAGACCATATGGCACCGAATATATTTTCTCATCATATATTACGATTCCCAAATCTTCAAGTAATCACCCACTTCATCTCCAAAGAAGAGATTTTTAATGATATGATGGGATGATAACATAACATCACCATACCTTTTAACAGCACCTAACAGTACTCAAAACACCTCACATATATGAGGGAGGTCAAGAGTTTGGATCCCCATAGCAGCCAGCCACCAAAATGAATAAGTAAATAAAATAAACATATACAAAGGTACTTCAAAAAGTTCATGGAAAGATTGTATTATCATTTAATTCTATTTTTCCATAAACTTTTTCAAGTATCCTCATGTGCTTTTTGGACTCACACAGCCCTGTGAGGTTGGACCCATTTCGCAGATAATGGAACAAGATTATCAAATCTGATTATCACTGACAAGTCTAAAAATGTAATATGAAAAGCATACCCGGTTCTCTTCTTTCAGTTCGTGATTAGCGTATGGAATGACTGCCTCTGGGCATCTCTCTAACAGTGTGTCTATGCACTGTTCATACTCTTTCAAGCGCGTATGACACAGAACATGAACACTGAGGCCAGCAATAGTGTCTTCTGAGAGTGGCTCCAAGAACGGAATAATGCAAGCTATGTCAAATGAAGGACCACATACAAGAGACTATGAACAGAAAAGTGAAATGTTATGGAATGAAGCACCCAAAAAACTAAAGCCAACTATAGAATACAATTTTTTAAAAAAGACTAAACTTGACTTGCCAAAAAGAGAAAAAGAATGCAATTGTAGAGCACATGCATATGGTCCTTATTTAATAAATCTAAGTGGACCGAAGTATTAAGTAATCTTGAAACCACTCCTACTTTAAAGAATAAAGATCTGTTTAACAGAAAGCAAACATTTTTCAAATAACATGATTTTATCTGCTTTGGATGAATTGCAAATTAAAACTAATAAGAATTCTTTAGGCTTCTATCCTAAGTAAATAATTAACATATAGTTATAGACTTACATTCAATGATACTCACCACAAGAGTATTCACAATATTGAAAAATTACAAGTAATCTAAATGTTCAATGGTAAGAAAAGAGCAAATAAATTATGGTACATTCATATGATAGAATATAGCCATCAAAATAATGTTTTCAAAGTCTTGTTAATGAGAAAAAGCTCATGATAAAAAGCTGAATAAAAAGACCTTAACACAGAATTATACAGTAGTCCTCCCTCATCTGCAGGAGATACGTTCCAAAACTCACAATGGATGTCTTAAACCCTCCATATACTGTGTTTTTTTCCTACATATACATATAGGGTTTAATTTATAAATTAGGCACAGTAAGAGATTAACAACTAGTAATAAAATAGAACAATATGCCAGTATCTCTACTTTTGTGTTTTGGGGCCATTACTAAGTAAAATAAGGATTACTTGAACACAAACATGGTGGTAACAGAATGGTGGATCTCACAAAGAGATGGCTATTAAGTGACTAATGGGCATGGACAGCATGGATGCACCAAACTGAGGGCTGATTCACATTTTGGGTGGGATAGAGTAGATCATGCTGCTCAGAATCGCACACAACTTAAAACTTAAGAATTATTCAGTTGGTTAGAGCATGGTGTTATGACACCAAGGTCAAGGGTTTGGATCCCCACTGTGGCCAGCGGCCAAAAAAAAACCACTACCAAAAAAACCAAACAACTTATGAATTGTGCATTTCTGGAATTTTCTGTGTAATATTTTCAGACCATGATTGACCACAGGTGACTGAAAAAAACTGTGGAAGTAAAACCATGGCAAAGGGGGAGACTATATTCACGGCATGGTCAGTTCTGTAAAATCTACATAGGTATATGCATATATGGAAATACCTTTGGAAGAGTATCACAGTTTGAAACAGAGATTAGCTCACTGGATGAGAAGACAAAGCATGTTTTTTTTTTTCTTTTCACATTTCACTGTATTTTCCAAATTTTCCATAATAAGCATGTGCTACATATATAATCAAAATTAAAATTTAACATTTAAGAAAACTAAAGTGATTGTTTAGAACCTAATCATCTGTATCAATACCATTTACCACAAGCTGAATGACAGGGAACAGGTATTATTTCAGTATCTCAAACTTAACCAGTTTTTTACTTTTAGGCATTTAACTTGAAAGTATTTTACATACTACTTTTGATTCTATCACCAAAATAATCTTGCTTTCCCTTTCTCCTGAATAAAGATGAGATGGTTACGTCCTGATTTTCTTCTCTTGTATCCTTTTTGCTACAGCATCTTCTCAGACTTACAGACGGACATGGAACATGAACTATCCATTCGCAGTCAGTGTGATTATTTTATTCCAAATATCTAGCAAGGATTGGCTAGGAAAATAAGGTAGGTCCCTTTTCTTTCTGTAACTTTAATAAATTGTCCATCTGAATAATTTCCTTACAATAAGATGGCAAAGAGGAGATAATGTGATAATTTCCCATTCACACATCTTCCAACATGGAACACAGATAATTTCTATATTCAATTCTTGGTTAATCGGGATAATGGGTGGTGCAGGAAGGGGACAGTCATGGATAACAAACCATGGTTAAAATGAAAGTAGTCAAAACTTGGTATAAAATGGATTACTTATAAAATTTTACTTAGTTTTATCCATGTCATTAAGAAGTCTGAAATGGGCCGGCCCGGTCCCATTGGGAAGCGCTTCCCCCACTTGGGAAGTGCGGCGGCGCTCCCGCCGAGGGTTCGGATCCCACATACAGACCGGTTCCTGCTCACTGGCTGAGCGAGGTGTGGGAGCAACACCGAGGGTTGTGATCCCGTTGCCGGTCCTGGTCCGGTACGGGCGCAACACTGAGGGTTGCGATCCGTTGCCGGTCAGTAAAAAAGACAAAAAAGAAAAAAAAAAAAAAGAAGTTTGAAATAAGTACGATAGTTAAGAAACACTAAACAACACATATATAATATCACTGGATTGAAAAATGATTCAAAGGCTACTGTTATTAAAGTACTGCTAATGTCTGCTTCTTAGCAGAGTGCTCCATTTTTTTTTTCAGTATTGGAAATGGACCCCTCGCCACCCTCAACACCTGTGTTATCCCTTCCCTTCTCCAATAAAGATCCCTCACCCGCTGCTCTGACTCTGCAGGGCTGGAATCCACAGACTCCTTGTCTTCTCCACCTAGACCATCACAACTGTCATTCTAAGGACAGATGGCTGTCAAGGAGGTCGGGGGGAGGAGAACCACAACAATTTTGGCAAAAGGCAGGACATTTACTTGTTAGTGTTTTATTCCAAACAGCAGCTTTTTGACATACGAGTGGTTTATAGACTGTTCTTACTTTTAGTATTGCACAAATACACTATTGTGGTGATTGAGGACAATAGATACTCATATGAAATCTGTGGCAGGGGAGGGGAGACAAGTGTTATACAATCCTGGAAAAGCTCTCCAAGTGATTCCAAGCCACCCCTAATTCGTCTAGGTGAGAACCGATAAAATCTTTTGTTTCTCGATGGTTTTTTCTTAATGTCTAACACTAATTGACCCACAGATAATCTAGAAAAAGCTATAACTAGGGAAAGTATTTTCAAAAGTTTAGGCCAACTACATTTCTGTCCTTTAATAGCAAAGATTCCCAGAAAGAATGTATCCTTTTTAAATACTTTAAAACGTATTTTAAAAGATCACTGAATTACACTTTGCCAAGCAGTGACTATAAATATGCTTTGAAACTTTATCAGGGGAAATTTAATAGCACTCACTACTATTAGGATTTAAATATGTAATTAGTACACATGTTCTGGGAGGACAAGGGCCTGCCTATCCTGTGCAATACTGTCTATCACAGGTACAAGGTAAATGTTCAAGCAATATTCATGAAATGAACACATCTGAGGCTAAGCCCTCAGAAGCCTCTGTGTCATAAGGGTACTAGTGACAAAAGACAAGAATCTTCTTTGGTGATTTTTTTTTTAGAAAAATGTAAATGACTCCATCTCTAGAGACTACACAGTCCTGTCTAAAAGCTGAGTCTAAGAAATATGGCCCCTTGAGCTTCCTTCCCCAAACTCCATCTTCAATTTGACATTTTGGGTTTTTAGGCAATAACCACACTTACACCAGTTCCCAGAGTGTAAAGCAAAGACTGCAGATTCAAAAGCCTAAAGGGGAAAAATAGAAAATGAAAATGCACGAAGGCAACAGGGTATAAGAAAAATGAACATGGGGATCAGGAAGACATGGAAGTGAGAAGTGTGCAGAAAGGACAGCATGAGCACTGCCCATCGAGGGCGGCCACCAGTCTGTACCGGCCCTCGGGGCCTGGAAACAGTGAGAGTCCAGGGTCACCAGTCCTGCTGAATTTTTCAAGAGTAACTGGAAACTCAATTCTTATATTAACTCTTAATTTTTACATGTTGGCAGCTATACTGGGAAGACCAAACAAAACATGTGGAGATTATATCTGGGCACTGAGCTACATTAAATAAAATCACATGCATATCTAATCCAGTCTGATCTACCAAGTCAAATGAAGATTATTTCTCATTTCCAGTCAAAACACTGGCATGGCCAGAATTCTTGCAGGATGATCTATGCTCTCTAATCATTCCTTTCTTATTTTTTAAAAATCCTTTTATAGGAGCTGGATAAACTGGCTACTTTGTCTTGTTTCTTATAAGACAAACAGTAGTGGTTGGCTTGAGTTGGAGGCCTAAAATATGTAAATCAACACCAAAAAAAAAAAAAAATGGATTACATCAATAAAAACACCACTAAACATTTGCCACATTTTCATTTCACAAAGAGTTTTCAAGCACATCCTCAAAATGAGGAAGGCAGTCACGTGACTTGGTGATGCTCGCTGAAACCAGCCTCTCAGCACAGAAGGCCCACTTGTCAGCAGTTTTAGGCAGAGGCAGGAATCCCCTCCAAAGCTCCTGAGTATGCCTAACTATGATTTTCCCACCCAAATTATACATTCTAGATTAAGAGGACACGAGGTCTTACCAAATTTAATTCTTACATTATATTATAATATGCATATTCATAAGAAAAAGAGGCATTTTTATTTACCTGTAATTTTGAAAGGTCTTCTGTGTAGTTTTTATCAGCTGAGGAATCAGACGATATTAAGACATGAACCCATGGGTAAATTAAGCCATAATGACTACAGGAGTTTATCTAAAACACAGAAGAAATTTACCATAAACAAAACATAACAAAAAAACCCTTTATCCATTCCACAGAAAGCAAGCAATCATTAATCCTCTGCCATGTCACAGAATTAGGTATACACTTTCCTGAAAATGGGGAAGGAAAGTCTTTTAGAATGTATTCCTCTGGAAAATGTTTCAGCCTTTCTGCTTTTGCTCTAAATATTCCTTTATATTTTAAAATCTAAAATATTCGAAAGATGCATTTCCTAGCAAAAAGAACGATACAGCTTTTAAGTTAATTATACTCAAAAAGAGTTAACAGTAATACTGGAAATAATTTTTATTTATACTACTTTCTTTGGGAAGCAAAATATCTTCCATAAGTTCTCAAGACAATTCCCATGAAGCCTTACTCAAGAAGCTGGTGACATGGGCTGGATGTTTAGCTCAGTGGGTTAGAGCATGGTGCTGATAACACCAAGGTCCAGGGTTTGATCTCTGTACCAGTCAGCCACCAAAAAAAGAAAGAACATTAGCCACATCATCCCTGAGAGACAAAGGCACTGGAAGAAAACACGGGAGCAAAAAAGACAGAAAGAGCTGTTATTACTGCCTTGAATGCTACAGAATGGTTCTGTGTGTGCAGCTGACAGGAAATGGGATCCCAGTAAGGAAGTCCCCCTCCCACAAGCCGTCTGCAGTTCCTCTCCCACTAGGGAGGTCTGCAGATGTCTCTTCTCTCATATTCTACTTAATGGTCCTCTGCTGAGGAGGGAAAGACGTGGTGATGTTCTGGGGAAAGCCCCTTTCCACATGCTTCGGTTACTGAGGTACCACTGCAAGTAAGTAATAGAGGAGCAGTAGGGGCATTCTTTGGAATATAAAATTATTTAAAGTACGGGCAACTTTAGTCATAAACAAGTTTTAAGTGTATTTTTAAATCCTGCTTAAGTAAGATAGCTGGTAATAGAAAACTGGGTTCAATTCTAAGTCATTAAAAATAAGAAGGTACATAATTGTAATGTGCAATGTGTGAGTTTTATTTAATGTATTATATTCCATTTTCTTACCAGATCCTCTGACGTTCGCAATGGTGTGGTATCAGGAGGCTGCCTCTTAGATAACCTCCGGATGTATTGGGATGTGAGCTTGAAAAAGAGCTCCTGAATTACCACATCTGGGAGACATGCCACTAGCTGAGCTTCCCAAAAGTCTACCAAGAGCTGAGGAATCACATCTTCATCCTTACCACAGAGCACCTTGAAAACAATGAAACAAGCCTGTGTATGCCAGATAAATATAGCACTGATTAAGTTATAGCTGGGTTGAATATCACTCCATCACGTGGGCCATGCAATTAATAATTTACCATTAGCACTGGTGCCATGGCAAAAGCAAGTTTAGACATTTTCAGCAGGAAACAGATTCTAGGTTGCATGAATGAAGTTTTCTCCAGATACCTTCTTTTAATTTGTACTTTTATCAAATTGATGATGTATAAGTCTGTTTTTTCAATAAACAAACGAAAAACTCATTTCTCTTATTCTGCTCCTCACTCTCCACTGATCTTATCAGGCCATCCAGAAAAATTACATTTTCAAGGTGACACACCTTAAAGAAGGAATCTGCTTCTTCAATTCCAATTTTGTTGTTCTTCTGCAAGCCCAGGACTGAAGCCACAAGCAATCCAGATTGAGTCTCTTTCAAGTAAATTGCAAGCTCAGTTGGAACAACCTGTCCCTTCCTCCGTTGAATCAATAGCCGAGGTTCCAGAATGAAGCCACACACCAACTTCATCTTCAGATAAAAAAATTTAGAAAGAAAATGTAGATTGCATTCAGATTGTTCATCTTGGAAACACATACTAGTACATTCACAATTCATGGCTAAGCTATTACTAATTTACTTTTATCACAATTTTTTAACTATAAAAACTTGTTCTTACACAAAGGACATCATTAACTGTCTTATAGAAATTATTAATATTTAACTAGGCATCAAGATGTCCTATTTTTGTAGAGAGCTTTATATTTAAGTTCTTATTATATTTCTACTTGATTAGAAAATAAAAAAATCAAAATTACGGAAAGAAAATTCATTTTTCTAGAATTCTACTCTTCAAAGCAGAGGACACCCTGATGTTGACTTTCCCTCCTCATCCTAACAAAACGTGTCATTTGTACAGTGATAAAGCACTTCTGTTCTTCTCATTTTAGAAACCAAGACATACTGTTGCATTTGACCACAGTCAGGGAGCAAAAACAACAGTGTAGGAGCAGAGATTCTGAAGTCGGGCCGCCTGGTTCTTCTGGCTCTACCAGTCACCAGCTGTGTGATCCTGGTGTCTTAATTCCCACATCTGTATAATAGCCATAACAGCATCTTCCTTGTAGTATTATTATAAGAATTAAATCAGATAAAATATGCAGGGGCTTAGAATAGGCCTGAGACATAGTAAGTGCTCAATTAACATTACCTCTTATTTTCTTCCCCTAAATGACCAACGTCTTTGGCTCATGTCCCTAAATGACCTCTTTCCCTCAGGAAATAACCTCTCTTCCTTTGAAACACCATTCAAATGTCTAATCCTCCATAAAGTCATCTGTGATTTTCCCAAGTATGAGCTATTTCTGCAACTACTAGACTCCTAAGGCTCAGTGCTAATATTCCCCTGCTGTACTTAAATACACATCACTCCTCTATTTTCAGTGCATACACCATATCCTTCATGCTACATTAGACTGTCTGGCTAGGGGCAGAGCCTGTATATTCTTCAGTACCAAGCACAGTGCTCTGAACTCACCTGACACTAAGGTGAAAGGTCTTTGTATGCCCATTGCTGCCATTTATCAGTCTTATTTCTTTTTCATTTGTCAGATCCAAAGTCCCACTTGGATCACTTCCCTTTTAATAGTAAGTCTGTTTTCCATTACGACTAAGAAAATATGAGCTAGAAAGAAGCCAGAGGAAGGCTAAACACCTCAGGACTACCAGGTCCAATTTCAGCCTGCTTTCAACACCAGGGAGGGCATCATACCTCTGGATGGCTTTTCATTTCATTTCTGTACATGTCAAGATCTCCCATTTTAAGAGCCACTGTTGCCTTGGTCAACGTCACTAAAATCGATGAAAACCCAGAACTATCCAGCTTCCTTAGATAGCTCATGGCAGTTAAAGGATTAATATTCTTCATAGAAGGACTACAGAGAATATGGGGCAGTTGCTTCGGCTCAGCCACATGAAACATCTGAACCACTTTTGCTGCTAACTCCTTTGGTGAGAATGAACAAGGAATAATAAAAGATCAGTCAGCCAACAGAAAGCAACAAAATCAGCACACACACATATATATGAAGCCAAGATACAAAGACTGTAAACATAAAATTATATTATGTTTTGATTAAAAAAGACAGAGTTGATACTAATGTTTGGAGACCTGAGATGACCTAAAGTGATCTCTTTGCTGAGTTATAATGAAGAAAAAGCAGTGAAAATATGTGCTAGGTTGTGACAAACATTTCCAACTTTACTAAGAATTCACAAGAAGAAAAATATTTCATTAAATTAAGCTTAAAAGTCCACCATTAAAAAACTATAACTTTGTTCAAAATATACTCAATGAAGTAGCTTATATGAGAAAATTTCAATTCTCTCAAAACCTTAAATCATTTGGTATCACAATTTCCAACTTGTCATATTTGCGTTCAACTATGTTTAAAATACCTGAGGGACTAAAAATAATCCTTAATAATGTCTTAAAGTCACTGGGCCAGGTTTCATAAGTGAAGTTTTGGGCACAGAGAATGGGGCAACTAGTGTTGTGGGAAGGACTGCAGATGAGGAGGAGGAAGGCAAGGCCCACATCTGTCACTCTTCTAAAGACATGCTGCTGTCATTGGGCAGGTCACTCAACCACAATGGACCACATCTACCTGTCTATATAATGAGAAAGTATGGGATGACCCACAATTCTTTCCCCAGCTGTAATTCTATGATCATTAATGAAGAAAAGGGCACACTACCTTCTTAGAAAAAGAATATCAAAGAAGAAAAATATATGGAACCTGACTTCTAAATAGCATTACATAGATTACTAAAATGAAAAGTTAAAAGTATTAGCTTAACTAAATAGAAAACTATATTCACTTCACTTAATTCTTCATCCAGGTCTTCATAAAGTGAATGATTGATATAGAAGATTAATCCCTTCTCATATTTCTGTGATCCATCCTCTACAGTCCAGTCCACACGTGCCAAAACTTCAGCCATAGACAAACCAGACATCTTATAGTAAGGCAAAGCAAGGTGGGAATGCTGGGTGTCAAGCCTAAAGAGAAGGAAATAAAAATCCTCAAATTTGTAATTTTTAAGCCTGATACCTAACACATTCAATAATAAAACAGATCATGCTTTCCAGAAGACATAAATCTCAAAATACTCTTCTACTGCCCTTAGTAATTAGAACAAATGGCTAAGGTTTATTTTATAATGTCATTCTAATTAATGCAGGGTTTTTTTGTCTGCTCATAATAAAAATAGAAAAGCAATTAATTAAGTGAATTTTAATATTCATGATGGCAAATATTCTAAAGTTATGGTGTTTATAGGAAGGAAAAGTCTGTTTTACTAATTTATAATCATTCATATGAGTCAAGTAAGCCTCTAAAACAATCATACAAAAAATTTTATAAACATCATTCTTAAAAGTAAAAATCACAATTCATTCTAGTGTTCCTTTCTGACATCATAAAAGCACTGACTACTAAGATTAAAATCACAGGCGGCCCAACTCATGCTGACAATAAACTAGTAATACGGCTATCTCAGAGATTTTCACTGGTCATTGGCCCCTCGAGGCCTGAAAAATACTTCAAATTCCTAATTTAAGTGGTGAGAGACTTATGAACTTGAGACTTTCCGCTCATCTAGTAAACTGTGACTCCATGAAGGTAGGGATAGGTCACGTTCATCTTTGCATTTCTAAGGCTAGCACAGCTCTTAGCACACAGTATGTGCTCACAGAAGCTTGTGGACTAAGTGAATAAATGAACTGCTTGTACTTATGTGTTCCTCCATTTACCAGGTAACTACCAGAGATGGAAAAACTAATCAGTATGCCCCAAGTTCTGGATGGCTTCCGTAGCATGGTTCCAAGAGGTGTCACCAACCTGCTGTAACAGTCTCCAAGGTGCCCACAACTTTCTTTAAATGCTTCTAAAAGCTCTGTTTTCTCCCCAGGTTCCAGCTGACTGGCATCCATCAGGGCAGCTCTCACCAACAGATGAGCCTCGCTGAGAAGGTGGATGCAGCTCTGGGTTTTTACAGTCTTGTAGGTATTACTATAGTCTACCTAAAACAAAAAAGACAAACAGCTAACATTGCTGAAGACTCCCCAAAGTTCCCCAGTTCTTAAGAACATCTATTTATTTTACGTTAAATCCTAAAAATAAATAAATAAGTGGTTATTTATCATTCTGACAGGGCCTTAGCTGAAGTACTTTTGTCCCCACAATCTATGAGCCAGTTTAATACATACATGATTGTAAACACTACCTTGTTAAGCAGCTCTAACCATTAGAGAAGGTCCAAATAATACTATAATACTAATAATACTGTTAACTTACCAATAATTTGATGCCAAGTGGATAAGGGTAATGAACGTATTTGAAACAGTTAACTTATTTTTTTTTAAATGTCCTGTGATTTAACTCTGTCTCAAATTGAGACTGAGTATCCCCTGCTTAAGTTTAGTTTCAATCGGTGAGTTTAGGTTCTACTACATCTATTTCCATAACTCACAGTAGGCTCATAAAAATGATCATTAGCAAATCTGAGTCAATCAGTATATTCAGACTCCAGTAGTTGAATCATCTAGATGCAGTCTAAGACTTTCAATTAAGCAAGACTAAAAAGACAGGGCAAAGCTGATATAATTATCATCATTAAAATGCCAGGCAAAAATCAGGCAATACCTTGACCTGATGATAAAAACAAACATCACCAACGAGGGGCAGATGGACATCACCTGCCTCCGGATGTGATACCCTAAAAGTACACAACATCACCTATGCAATATTCTGGCTGAGAATGCATAACCTGAATCTAATCAAGGGGTGGGGGGAAATAAATCAAACACACCCCAAATCGGGAACACTCTCAGGAAAAAAAAAAAAAAAAGGTAGAAGGGAAAATTGTATTTTTCAAAAATGTCAATGACATATTAAAAAAAGGCTACAGAAATATCCCAGATTTAAGTAGGCTAAGGAAATGTAATAGTTAAAATATGCTACCTGATCCTAGACTGGATCCTGGACTAGAGAGGAGGAAAATGCTAAGCCATTAAGTCAAATGACAAAACTGGAGTATGAACTGTAGACCTAAAGTATGTAAATGTTAAATTTACTGAAGCTTATGACCATACTGTGGTTATGCTGACTTTTAGAAAATACACACTGAGGTATTTAGGGGCGAAAGGCTATGGTGTACACAATTTACCTTCCAAGGGATCAGACAAAAAAAGTATGTGTATGTGTGTGCGTTTAGAAAGGACAAGAGTGCAAAAAAAGAAAGAGAAAAGCAAATGAAGTAAAATATGCAAATATACAGGTTTTCTCTGTACTATTTTTATTCTCGCAACTCTTCTGTAAGTTTGAAATTATTTCAAAATAAAGAGTTAAAATAATTGCCAAGGATGAGTAGGAAGCTGTCATTCTTAGACCAGAAGTAAGGATGCCCACTCCAGGCCCCTACCCACAGGACAATGCTGCACAGGCTGCAGTGCGCTGGGACAATCTACTAATGTTTCAAAGAAAGAAGAGTGAGATGGGGTAAATAATCTTAGATTTCTTTCATTTTCACTTCCTGGTTCTCTTTGTTAGGAGCGGTCAAAGGCTACTTATGTTTGGCCTGGATAACCAAGGGAGTCTTATTTTACTGAAGGGAATTTCTACTGGCTCCTCAAATGTTAGAAGCTATAAAAATGAGAAGGAGGAGAAAGATATACACTCCACTGTCAGAACCTAGAATCTGGTTGGCTGTGGCATCCTGAATGTCTGATAATTAGAATCAATTTCTGATCATCAATTTCACTCTATATTTCTACAAATATGAATCAGATGTCTGAAAAGAGTACCATTTCTTTGTACAGTTGCATTGGTGAGGTCGTATTCACAATATACAAATTCCACCCAGCCTCAGCTACAGGAGGTATTTTGATCTTAACACTGGTATCTTTTTTAGAACTAAAAGCAAAACAAAGGACAAGATTTGTAAGATAAGACATATTATTAACAAATGGCAGTTTTAAGTGGTAAATATTGAATAACATAAAATAATATAACTATGAAATCACCTTCATTTAGTAATTTTTTCAGTGATTAGTTTTGCAGTCGGTTTTTATAAAACATTAGTTCACAACACTACATAGGCCTACAGCATTTAATATTCTATAACTATCACGTATTGATAAACCTATCCCTTCCAATTCACTCCACAAGTATTCTCAAATAAGCAATAAGCTCAGAGAAGAGGCAAGACCCCTCAAAGGGAAGAGAGATTTGGCCTCTCTCCTGCATGTGGCCTTCATGAATTCAGCATTCCCTATGCCACAAATCTAAGCAGAAGCAACATGCAAAATGCAAAACACTCACGGCTGCTGGGAAAATGCAGAAGACACAAAATCGTAAGTCTGCTTAAAGCACATCTTATCTCCTGCTTTCCATATGCGATGCATTTTCTTTAGTACACAATCTTTTAAATTTCTTGATTAAATGAATTTTCAAATAATTAGAATTTTAAAAAATCATTTTAAAATACTATATTTTAAAAGTGCTAAATATGCAAGATTATAAATTATTTTCCTTTGCCAGCTTTTAAGATCAGTCAGTCTCCGATCACTCTGTGTACACTCTAAGTGATCAGTCACGAACTCAACCTCTGATTCCTGTTGGCGGAACAGAGAACAGGCAAAAACAATTCAAAAAAGCAAAAACTTATTTTAAAAATAAAAACATGTAGGTAGAAGACACGCCCCAGCCCTGTCCTGAGCACACAGAGCGGGGAGGGGCCCGGCTAAAA